ATATATAATTAACTTTCTAATGCTTTATACTGTATGGTAAAAATGTATGAAAAGGGGCTGATGTGTCTTTCTCTCCGTAGAAATTCCGGCTCCTGATGTCACACAAGAAACACCGTGGTTGGATGTGTTCCCCCATGAGATTGTGAAGTTTAGCTGCAAGATAAAAGGCGGGTTGCACTGGATTTATACATGGTACAAAGACGGACAGGAACTGGTTGATAATGTGTCTTTTGACTCGAATAGAGCTACTCTTTCCATCATCTCGGCCTCAACTGTACATGCAGGACAATATACCTGCATGGGACGAGTGAAGGACAGATCTGTCAACAGCAGATCTAGTTCTGGACTTACTCTCACAGTATATGGTGAGTTTTCCTTTTTAAATTTACATAGAAATTAAAACACTATCTGAATTTTAGGTATTAGGGCATTGGGCTGTTTAAGGCACATCTGGTTAGACTAGCTTCTTTTTACATTGGATGCAGTGTAATTTAACACACTGATGACAATTACATGTTTACTGGCCCTCAGAGAAGCAACCCAGTGTCATACTGGTGCAGGATCCAGACTACCAGGTGATGTTCCCCGGAGAGTCAGTCACCTTTAGCTGTCACATTAACGTCTCCACTGGATGGAAATACTTGTGGTACAAAGATGGCAGTCACTTTGGCAATCCATCTGAAGAATCTAGAAACAACTATATGGTCAGCTCAACAAACCAGGGTTCATATAAATGCCAAGCAATAAGAGGCTCATTCACCGTCTCTAGTCAGGATATACTCCTTCAAGTTGAAAGTAAGTGTCTGTTGATTTACTCTAAACATTTATTTGTTTTGTGCAGGTTGTTGAATGAGTTTTGCACTTGTGTTTCCGCAGTGCATCTCTGGTCACTAATGATCCTGGTCAAACATTTTAATGAACAATGTAACAACATGTAACTGTTGATATCACAAAATAAACACAGATGCATTTCCTCTTTGTGTTTTTAGAGAACAAGCCAAAGCCCTCGATTACTCAACAGCCAAATGTTGACAAGGTGTACACTGGAGAGTCAGTGTCCTTTGAATGTAAAGTTAAACTCTCGTATGGTTGGGAGTATCTCTGGACCAAAAATGGAGAAAATCTCTCTATCAGCAGCAGTAGTTTTAACATCTCTGATGCCAATTCATCAGACAGCGGGACTTATAAGTGCATGGCTACAAGAAGCAAAACAATGTACGTTACAGAACTCAGTGATGGACAGAACTTGCACGTATCTGGTGAGCCACAGAAAGTTACTTTGTGTCGATGTGTATTATTATGTGGGCCTCCATCTGTGATTATGGAGTTATGTATTTAATATATATAATGTTATAGTAAAAATCAGAGCGTATATGTCTAAGGATATTTGAAAGGGGCTAATGTGTCTGTTTTTCTTTAGAAATTCCCATTCCAACTTTGAAGCAAGCTACAAAATGGTTGGATGTGTTCCCTTCTGAAAGTGTGAAACTGAGCTGTGAGATGGACGGCACTTCTGACTGGACATATACATGGTACAAAGATGGACAGATTGTCCTGCCTGAAAATACTGTATCTTTTGACTCGGATAAAACTACTCTTTCCATCCCCTCTGCTTCGGTCTTACATCGTGGACAATATGTATGCTCAGGAATATTCAAAAGCAGGTCTGTCAAAAGCAGCTTCAGTTCTGGACTAATACTTTCCGTTTATGGTGAGATTTTTTTTCATCCTTTTTGGCACAGTTCTTTAGAAACATATTGTTTTTAATCAATTGTTTTATTTTGAGTCTTGGTGGTTGGTGGGTTTCCTAAGCAAAAACATTTAAAGGAATAGACGCTTTGGCAAATACGCTTATTGACCTTCTTGCAAAGAGTTTAGATTGGAGGAGCGATACCACTCATATCTGTCCTGTTCACTATGACGCTACAACTAGGATACGGTTAGCATAGCTTAGCATCAAAACTGTAGACAGGGGGAAACAGTTAGCAGCTGGTAGCCTTGTAACCTCACAGTACAAGACTTCAGGACTTAACCAGCACATAACCTCTTGTTGAACCATAAATTATTGTTTTGACACTTACATTTTGGTACAGATAAAACAAATAAGATATAAGGTGGTGTTGTTGTTTTTGTACCTTGGTCAGCGCCAGGCTAGCTGTTTCCCTCTACTTCCAGTCTTTACGCTAAGCTAAGCTAACCGTCTCTTGGCTGTCGCTTAAAGATCCAGTGTGCAGGATTTAGTGGCATCTAGCAATGTAGTTGCAGACTGTAACTCTTTTGTAACACTTTACCCTCCTTTTCCAAGCACAAAGGAGAAACTTGTGTTCATAAACACAATGATTCTTACTTTCAGGGGATTATACACAAATGAAAACATACCTATAAATATTATATTCCATTTCTGCCAGTAGATCTTCCTAAATGTTACACACTAGATCTTTACCATTTGCTGGCCAAATAAGAGAGTGGCATTGATCATCTCATCTACTTATCAGAAAGAAACAAATAAATATATTTGCCAAAACTAGTCTTTTTTTGGAAAAGTAGTAGTTTCAGCATGTCACAAAAACTATTTAAAGCAGCTATAAGGCCAGCTTCTCTTTACTGTGGGCTCTACAGTGTGATATACATTGCTTTCATACTAATAGCACTTATATTATTATTACCCCTCAGATGAAAAACCCAGAGTCATACTGGGGCAAAATCCCAATCACAGTGTGATGTACACTGAAGATTCAGTTTCGTTTAGCTGTCACATTAATGTCTCTTCTGGATGGGAGTACCTGTGGTACAAAGATGGCAGTCTACTCCCCGAATCTGGAAACAAACATACCATCCCTTCTGTTCTGACAACACACACCGGATCATATAAATGCAAAACTAAAAGAGGAGTCTTTCAGTCAGACCCAAGTCAGACTATAAGTCTACACGTTGAAAGTAAGTTTTCGTTCATTTCCCTTTTCTGTATCTGCATGTGTTGAATGTGTTTATTACAGTTTTGATGGGGTTTCTACAGAGCGCCCAAAGGCTGATATAATCCTGTTAACTGGCTGGTCTGAGGTCTTCGCCACTGACAGCTTGGTGCTCAAATGCGGGGTGGTGGAAAACCAGAACGAAAAAGAAAGAATCTGGAACTACACATGGTAATACACATCAACAACACCAGTTTATGCTAAAGAATAAAGTTTTCTAAATGTATTCATGTGTACTGTATGGATTCTCACCTTTCTGAAAATTCCAACATGCAAAAATTGAACAGGTTCAAAAACAATATAGCCATCGATCGGCCGACCTCTGCGAAACATACAGTGACACCCCAGGATGACCCTGAGCAGAGTCTGTACACCTGCAAGGGCAATCGCAGCGGGAGACCATCTTATTCAAAAATGAGTGATCAGTTCACGACCAAGAACCTTCGTGAGTATACCATAGCTGAGCACTGGAACTTTAGTTTTTACCCTGCAGATATTCTGTCTCACCTTCGTTCTCTGTGTGTAGTTTTGAAAAGGAGGGTGCTTCTTTCCATCTCTGGCTTTATCTTCTTTGGCATCATTGCCGTCTTCCTTGGATGCATCATCCTCAGAGTCATCCGCAAACCAGGTTTGGTTAGTTTTTGAGACTTTTCGAGTGCATGGATTCTAGAAATCAATACTGTTAAAACAGTTATAATCAATATTGTTATGGTAACAATGTAAGAATGACTGTGAATGTGGTCAGACGTACTGATGAACTTACAGAGAATTATCACCTGAATCTGCAGCTCCCATCTGTTTTATGGCCATTACTGTTTTGGTTGACTCTCATCTCTCTCATCGAGTCATTTCGTCCACAGCGGAAAGCTTTTTTAATGGAAAAGCTCTTAAACTTCAGTATACACTACCTGCTAAGCACCAAACGGCAGACAGACACAATTAGTGACTGGCTGGTGAACATGCTGGAACATTTAGCTGCTTAATAATCTGATATTTCCCTCAAGATTTGGTAGAGACTAAAGCTAAAAGAAAGTGAATATTGGACTTTACATTCATCAGGTGACCACAAACTCAAATGAAAGATTATGTTGCTTAGAAACTACTGGATTTGTAAATTACTGACAGTTTGCTAACAAGTTCACCGTATCAGTTTAAAAGATAAAAATGTGTCAATGTTGTGTTGTGTTGGGATTTCCGAGAATGTACTTACTCTCAATAAACCAAAACCAAAATGAGGTTACCTATTATCTTTTCCTTTCATGTAGCTAAAGATGAATATAAACCAGAAGAGGTAGACCTGTTTCTCAACATGTCTCAGCTGAAGGGCCGTGATGGTATGTTGACACCGCCCCTCATGGCTTGTGGTTTTGGTTGCCATTTCCTCATATGCTGCAGATACAGCCCCACCAGTGATTCATTTCTGAGCTATTTTGAAATTACCGTATATGAAACTATCTACTGCCACTTTCAAGAGCCTGACTTTCATAGTTTGCCCCTAGCCGTTGGTGCTCTTTTGTTAAAAGTTCCTTCCTCCCGCCTGCAGATGCACCCTGTCCACTGGTTGAGTACATCACTGATGCAGCACTGAATGCTCCATCTAAAGGTAAAGAACCTGTAGATAAGTAAAGAAGATACTATACTATATTATTATGCAAGTATGTCTCAAGTGTCTTTTCTGGTTTTTAAAAAAACAATCTGACCTGCAGAAGAGGATGAGAATGGCGTGATTTGCAGTGAAACAACACCATTACCAATAACATCACAGGACGACCAAGGTAATAAAGTTATATTACAAATGCCCTCTTCAAATCTACCATTTTTTCTTTGTGATGATAGATCCTGTGCCAATTTATTTGAAGCTGATAATGGATTTCTAATGCAAGTTTCCACATGTTGCCCTTTACACCTTTCTAGCTGTGACAACTGAGAGCCAAGATGCAACAGAAAACAACGGTGGGCTGGTTTCCTTTAAACAATGAGTTACTGAAGCAGCGGTTTAGTTTCAGGCAAAAAAATTTAAAGATTGGCCAAAGAGAAAGGTGAAACTTTATGCAGTGGCCATGATAAGACATCTAAGACTCATCTTGTCTCAGCTCAATATGGTCAGACTGATGTTTGCATCAGTCTTAAAGTACAGCTGAGGATCATTAGCATTGTCTGTACCAAATTTAGAATATTTGACAAGATATTACTGTGTTACAAGTGCGAACATTGCTATATAAATGTGTGCAGATTTGTTTGGCACAGCACAATACTGTGGAGAACTGTACATATTTCAATTCTTATCACTGTATTGATTCATTGACTGTTAAACGTACTGTTAAAATATGAAACATTATTTATGTGATAAGCATCAATCATATATATGTATATGTATATTGTTGTATTGTACATATATGTATATTTTTAGCTTTCAATTATTGTATGCACTGTACATAGCCTTTGTGATGATCTGTAGGATAGTTTTTCAATTCTTACAACAACCACCAGATGTCAGTAAAGTTCTCCAAAGCTTAGTGACCAGTTGGATATTGCATATTTACCTACAGTGCAGCTACAGAAATGCCATTCAAACATTTGTTTTAAACTTAACCCTATGAAATTATGAAAATAAAAAATACAAAACTTTGCCACAAGTGTTCATTCAAACTAATATTGATCTGCACCATCAGATGTGACTGCAAGAAAACACACGTTCAACCAGTGGGATTTTCACAAGAAGGACGATTTGTGGTTCTTTCAGTAGGAAGATCTTGCCCATCATGTGCACCTGTAACAAGTCAGGGGACAAAGACAATCATTATCCAGACAAACCTTAAATTTAAAACATTTTTGACCCAAAAGAAGCATGTAGGCTCACAGCAACATACACAATACTTACTGACACATCTACTTGAGGATATCAGCCAGTTTCTCCATATAGTAGTCGTAGTTTTCCTGACAATCTTCCCAGGGTGTAAAGCTCTGGTCCTCCTTCTCCACATACGTTTCCCAGACATGTAGGAAGTCACATGGCTTCATCATCCGCAGTTTGCAGCCGGCACTCACCAGAGCCCGGAGTCCTTCTACTATCTCTGGCTGCTCCCACTCAAAGAGACGAGAACAGAATATGCAGAGACGGAGCTTTTTGCGCTGCTGGAGGATGTTGGCCAACTTGGCTGCACAGGACACACAGGGACTGGATGATACATACCATGTGACTTCATACTCTTGGGAAGCGTCAGGGAGCACCTGTAGAGGAAAGAGTAGGGATTTATGGAGGCCTAAAGGAGAAAACACTATTAATTACATTATCACAAGAGGAAACGGTTGCAAACTAAAAGGAATCAGACCTCTACTGGGGTTCACATATGTGTAGTATAATAAGTCGGTATGAAAAGTGTGAGTGTTCATTACCTGTTGAAAGAAGGCCTCTTCAGCATGAGCTGTGGCATGTTCATCCTCCATATAACCTTTCAGAGGCTCTGTGCTGCCTCCTGGTGTATCCACTCTGAAGCACAGTAGGGTCTTGTTCCTCCCTGATGAGTATTCCACATTCCTGAACTGAAACTTGAAGTAGAACGGGCTCATCTGTTCCCTGGTGGAGATTGAAAGTGTGTGTTTCCATAAATCTGATATTAAGTTGCCTCTTTTCTTTTCAGTGAATGCCAAAGCACTACTCGGTTGGACAACGCTGAATGTCATCGTCATTGGGGCTTTTTAGTGCATGAAGGTTAGATTAGTATGAAAGAGTAAACCACAATCAGCAGGATGCATCTATCAGCAGTGCTTTCAGAATAATGTGTCACATTTAATGGTGGTGTATGACAGAGTAACTGGAAATGCCAAACCAGGTGACACTAACACTGAGAGCATGAGTCACTCATTTGGTGATGCATTTGTCAACCATCCAAGACAGTAAAAGAGTAATGATAGCGAGTCTTTACTATAGACTATGGTGACACCTTGAATAGAATATTAATGAGGCTACCACTGAGTAAACTGATGTTTCTATAAATATTTTTGGCTTCCCACAATCTGTGGATGATCTCTTCACGATTCAGCCACTGAACAAAACACATACCCCTTCTGTCTTTCTATATCAATCCTTTGTTATATTGTACGTGAATAGCCAGATGTATTACACAAATAGATCTTTTATAGCTTTGATATCAAAATACACAAAGGACAGAGACTGGGGAACAGATGCTTGCTGGAGTGATATAACAGGGAACGGCATCTGTGTCGGCTCTGTGACTCATCCCTATTCTTACTGCTGGGTTAGTAAGGATGGCAGGTGTGAGTCATTAGTATCCTTCCTCACTGATATCTAAGTAAACTATAGAACATGCATTGGTAACAATATGACTTAGAGAAAGACATGAAAAACTACTTCAACTACAAAATAATCAAAAAGTAACTGTTAAAGAGCTGAAGAGGTCTGCAAGGATAACATACTGACTCTAACTCTTGTGGTGTATATATTAAAGTGTACCTACCCTGTGACAATCTCAAACGGTGGCAGCTCTATGGGCTGAAACTCTCCGTTTTCTTCACTGTTATTGGCCTCCGCTCCAGTTGCCTCTCCACTTTCCCCATTCCTCTTCTCTTCATCCGTCTTGGGCGGCTCTGGGGTCTTCTCTGGCTTTTTCACAAGTTTTTCAGGCTTTTTCACAATCTTCTCCTTCCCCTTCTCCTTTTCTTTGTCCTTCTCATCGTTTGTTTTGTTTTCCACCTTCTTCTCTTTCTTCTTAACACTCAACCGGCTGTTTCTGTCGGCCATGATTTTGTGTAAGTGGGTGAGAGTGGTAGATAACGAGAGGGAGGGAGAGGGGGATGTCAGTCTAAGTGGAGTGATAACCCTAGTGCATTTACAGAAATAGATCCTATTGTGTGCTATAGTTGGAGTCACAACATGTGCAAGTCATGCCTCCCCCCACCTCCCCCCGTGCCCTGGCAGTTAAAAGGCTAAAGGACAACACAAGAGTGAGTGTCCATGTGTTGCTCGAAGAAAGGAGGGCATGACTCGACTATCTATCTATTATATCTCTTACACACTTCAGACAGTTGCCAAATTAAGAAAGGAAACTATATTATTCTGTGTAGAAATGTATAACCTCAACACACAACGAGAGGTATCTCTTTAATCCATCAGGATTTAACTGTCAACAGGCCAGCAACAGGCAGGTTATTAATAACGATGCTTGTCTGTGTGTGTGTCTGTGTGTATGGGGTAACCAGGGCTTTTTTGATACTAAACACCACGTTTGTTTGTGCCAACTCCAAAGTCCTGCAGCCCATTAGGCCTTAGCAAAACGCCAAGGCCAGCTTAAGGGCACCCCAGATAGGGGAAGATACACACACAACACAGTCTAAGAGAGTATTTGTTTCTGTGCTATAGATACGAGTGCAGGAGTGAAGTGTGGCCTAGTGTGCATGTGCCCATGAACAATCAATCTATGAAATCACCCTGCATCAATATGGC